GGGGCAGAATCTTAGGCAAACAGGATAAATGTTTTCTATCCGAATAAGGGGCCGCAACACAGAAACAAGGTTGCTTAAAATGCACGAGTAAGTAAATCTTACTCCTGCGGTACTTCCGAGGTCATGGTTCAGTAGGAATACTAGCACACATTTTGATAACTCTGTTTTTACTACGCATTACATGTATTCTATTTGGGGGGAAAGAAGTGAGGAAAATTATGTCATCCCCCTCACTCATGAAAAATCGGGACGAGGGGACACAAGTGAACCATTACCTCAAGACACGTCCTTTGTGAGAAAGAGATCTGACCCCATTCCTACCGAAAACAGCTTGTCACACTGGCCCAGAAACGACATGCTGTTCAAAATAGTTCGGGTATGTCAGGACTGGGTCGGGTGGTCATGCAGCCTGTCCCCCGAATGCCTAAATTGTGCGGATGGGAGTTTATAACTTGAACAGCCATGGTGAAGAAACCCATGCTCACATAATCACTTTTGGCTGAAAAGTTCTGAGATAGGAAGGGTGAGAGAGATAGACATGATTTTATTTAGACAGGGAGGAAACTCAGATACAGGACAAAAAGATGAAAGTGTTGAGGAGTTAGCTGAAGGTTACATAAGAAAAGGAGGACGTACCACTTTAATTGTCCCTTTCGGAACTTAAAAAAAAACAACCTCACTTGTATTAGAAGGTAGAAGATAATTGTCCCCAGAGCTGCCCTCAGGAAATAGTAAATGCTTCACAAATTTGATGTTAGAACAACGCTTTTCGCCTCCTTTCAATGGACAATGTTCTTCTGCAAGGGGCACACCCATACCATCCGCAATCAATATAATATTCACATTCAGTGATTTTCTAAAAACTGAATTCGATTTTTAAAATCAATTTAATCTCATTTTTAAAAAGGCTAAATGCCAAACCATGTAGGGCCTACAAGTGTTCATGTTATACGTACCGCTAGAAGAACATATTCTTTGACACAAAAACAGACACGCACAATCACACAGATACACACAAACCGTCACACACACACACACACACACACACACACACACACACACACACACACACACACACACACACACACACACACGCACCACTCACTCTCACAGGCACATATTCAAGATAGATTATAAACAATGACGCATTTAATTCAAGCACAACAGTAGAAAAGTGAAAATAATATCCAGATGAAGCTTTAGATTCTGAACTTATTAAAAACATTATATTTATATACTCAAACAAGATGAAGTATGTTTACAATAATTTTACACCTCTATGCACAGTTTTTAGTGACATGTCTTGATCTTCAATGTCTTTTTTGGATCTTTATTTCGAAATAAAGATTTATCACAATAACACCTCTCTTACAGTCGCTTTCTTATCAAAAACGCCTTAAGGGAAACGTTGTATGAACGCCCAGTAAAATCTAGAAAACCTTGAGAGATAAACAGTTTATTCTAACAAGAGCCCCGTGGATTTGTTCGTTTCAGAGACGTCCTTGTACAGTATTAAATTCAATTGTTAAGGTTTAGATCGTTTGATAACCAAAGCTGATACAATTCTGAACACGAGTGTGTTTAACTATACAATAGAACCTGTCCAAGACGACTATACTTTGCGAGAAGAAAAATTGTCATTATAGGTGGCCCTCTTGAGCAGTGTCATTAAATTATTGATTTAAAACATATCACAAAAGGAAAAAGGGGGCAGGGCGCGGCAGTGGAAAGTGGTCGTTTGTACAGGTGATTGTCTAAGCAAAAGAAGCGGCCGTTAGAGCAGGTTGGACTTTTGTACAAGTACAGTTATCTCGCTTGTGTGGCTTCCAGCTCTAGGTCGAAAACAAACGGTTACAGCTGAGGTCAATGCAACAGAAAGGGGGGTGGGGTGGGGGTTGTGCACGAGTGGGGGTGGCTGGAACACTCGTGGCTGAAACCTTTTGACCTTACACGACACCGTCGGCTCTCATGTCTGTCTGTCTGGGATTTATTCGCGACAGAGGCCTAATCTCTCTCTCTCTCTCTCTCTCTCTCTCTCTCTCTCTCTCTCTCTCTCTCTCTCTCTCTCTCTCTCTCTCTCTTTGTGTGTGTGAGAGGCGAGGGTTTGTTTTTTTGTGTGTGTGTGTGTGTGTGTGTGTGTGTGTGTGTGTGTGTGTGTATGTAAATGTGTGCCCTTGTGTGTGTGTGTGTGTGTGTTTGTATGTGTGTGTGTGTGTGTGTGTGTGTGTGTGAGAGAGAGAGAGAGAGAGAGAGAGAGAGAGAGAGAGAGAGAGAGAGAGAGAGAGAGAGAGAGAGAGAGAACAGGTACGGCAGAAAAATGAAACGAAAGATACTGTGGGCCATTTCTGTTACAAGCATTCTGTCCAGATACGCAATATCACACTGAACGGGTCTCTCATTGACCTTGACCTTTTGGTAAACAATCTGTTCTCACCACAGGTTCTTCCGGGTCTGCATCGACACCATGGAAATGACGTCTGAAGCTGACGGAAATTCTGGCTGCCCCCTCCCCCCCCCCCCCCCCTAAATAAATAAATACAGAAACGAAACAAAGTCCGTTTACGTATTACGGAAATGCACCGACCAGGCCAAATAAAAACCAACAAAACAAAACAAAAATGAGCATCCAACAGCACCAGTAACAACAGCAGTCAACAACAACAACACTAGTTGCACAAAAGCAAAATGGAGGCTTACTGACTTCTTTTTATTATTACTTCACCTTTTTAAAACGTGGTGAATTCGTATAACATTATTTTCTTCTTTGGCAGCAATTACATAACCCGTTACCGAGGCGAACAAAGCAAAAAGTAAGGTTCATTGACTGATTATTTCATCAACTTTTCAAAAGAAAATGATAATATTTTTTTTCATTCTTTTTCAGCAATTTCATCTCCAGTTACCCCTTCTGTATGTATAAACGCTCTGGCGCCACCTACTGACCTTCCTGGTGTTAATCAAATGGGAAATGACCCAACCACGCCTCTGTTCCGCCTTCACTTCACAAAACACACGGAGAACAAAGGACGTAGAGACTCTCGACAAGCGTACAGAGGTAAATAACGTTGGTTTTTTTTTTTTAAATTTCATGCAGGTGTTTTTACGCCCACGTCAATACAATTTAGATCATTTATGAGTCGGGCTTCAACCCTGCTTTTCAGGGCCAACCCGAGCTGGGAAGGATACAACATCCTAGCAGAAAGACTGAGATTCTCAATAAACATTCTTCCCTCATGGTTATCGAACTCGGTCTTTTGTGTATGATGACGAAGCACCTAGCTGCTACACCACAGGCACCGGTATAAAGCAGTTTGTTGGATGACATAAAATGATGTACCGTATGCGAAACAATCCACTGTTTATTTGGAACACTAAATCCCCCATCCCATCTACCCAAAGCCTCCTGTATCTTAAAGTTCCCCAAAAAGAAAGACTACTTGCCCCCTCGCCTGCCAATCTTTGAAAAAAAAACAACCTGAAAAGGATCTCCGAATATCCTGAAGCACAAAGTGAAAGCGTCTGTTCCCATAGTTCTCAAAGACCAAGAAGCAAAATGAAAGCTTTTCAACTCTAAAATGTTTATCTCTGCACAGTACACTTGGCGGTAACGTCCTCGCGAGTTGCCTTCAGTGACGCCAAGGTATCTCTGGAAACCACCGGGAACTGTGGCGTCGGTTCCCTGAAGTACGATTCCAACGACTTCTTCCAGGCTCGACAGACGAACGACTCGTGTCCAAAACTTCTCCTCACCAGCCACAAAACTCCGATGACTGAATTGCCGTCCCTCATTTGGACACCTCCCGAGTGCGGATGTGTGCTTGTGAGGTAAGTGTTGTGTACCTGTTATAAACAAATATGTCTTTTACACTGTACGTAAAGAGAAAGCATCATGTTATTTTTCACGCCATAATATGCGACTAGCCTTTTGCACTCATTCTTGAACGATAACCCACTCTCCAATATTATTATTATTATTATTCTTGCGGCAACCTCCTTGATCTGGCGGTCCTACATCAAATACAATCAGCCGGATAGTAATGAAAATGTAAACTCCACAATCTAAATCAATGGTGAAAGGTTAAACATTTAAGTGTCGAAGAGAACTTTGATAAGAAAATCTAGATTGTGTCGACGGGGCCGTAAAAAGCACGTACATTTAAAAAATGCCTCTCATCATCGTTTCCAGAGTTCTTGTCATCGAGAAAGGAACTGTCTACTACGCTGAGCGGGAAGGAGTGAAAAAGGGTCCCTTGGCTCAACTCGTTTGCGTGAAGAAGGTACGTGAGATTCATGCTCTACAATACATGTACAGTGTATAATGTTTTACCTGAAATGTTAACAGAACTACACGTATGTGAACTAGAATTTGGAGAAAAGATTCCACCCCTAGGCATGATCAATCTGGCTTGAATTTTGACGCATATTTTGTCATTGTGATTGTCATTGTCGTTTTCATTGTCATTACAATGGTCCTTGTTATTGTCATTTTCATTATCATTGTCATTGCAATTATAATTGTCATTGTCGTTGACATTGTTACTATCATTGTCACTATCATTGTCGCTGTCATTGTCGTTGCGCTGTTATTGTCACTGTCATTGTCACTGTCATTATAATTGCCATTGTCATTGTCTAGGCTTAATGCCTCTTTCAACACGACACATGTTTGACAGCTTCCACCCCACCTATTATTACGAAACAGGCGTCAAGAGAGCAGTACCTGGACACTTTGTGCAGTGTGCTTGACCGCTACCTGACTACAGAGATCATTTCCAGCGACTCTTTCCTCACACGCCATCGGCTGACGGAGAGAACTGCCGACAGGTTCTCCCTTGACCTCAACATCAAGATGAGGCGATCGGATGCTAGAACCTGCTGCAGTAAGGTGAGAGAGAAGAAGATGAGAGGAGCTATATTGCATTAACGTTGTATTATTGAGAGTGGTTTTTTCCAGCGTTGATGTTGATGGGTGATGGGGAGACGCACTGAAAAAGGGGGTACTTCTGTTTGAAAGAGAACATGATATAGGGAGAGACTAAACGCGACTCGATGAACTATACAATGTGTCGTTGCGTTCATCTGCATTGCCATTTGCTGATAACAACTTAAAAAAGAGGTAATTTAATTCGTACTTTTGTGGTGTAATAATAGTTTTGAACTTTTCCAATGTTGTTGTCGCGTTCTTTCTTTCTTTCTTTCTTTCTTTCTTTCTTTCTAGGCGTTGTTCGTTCACCCGCAGGATTGTTGCTTCACTTTGTTTTATTAGAGCTGTTTTCTGTGTAAAGATTGCTCTTTGATGTCATCCTGCCATCTTCTTTCTGGTCTAACCTTAGATCTTTTCTCTGTTTTTGGTTTCCCTTTCCCTCATTTTTTAAATCCATCTGTTGTCCTTTCTTCTTCCAATGGGACCAGTCCATTTTTGTTGTAGTATACATTTGGGGATGATTGTCACTCCAGTTTTCTCTCGTACTTTAGTGTGATAGGGGTAGTTTCAATGGGCAACTTATAATTAATAATGCCTTTTTTCTTTCCGAAAGGATTCGTCTGAGGAACGGATCGAGTGTTTTAATGATTCTCGATGGCATCGGATCGACCGATTTTGTAAGGATGGCTCCCCGGACCTTCCGTTGACGGAACTCCGTATGGTTCACATGCGGAATAGGGAACAGGAATGCTGCTTTATCTTTGGTGAGTATCTCAGGGTATGCCCGCAAGCGTAATCCTCTATTTCTATTGGTTTTAAAGCAAGCCTTCTTCAAGACTGACGTAGATAATGATAAGTCAAATATATTGTGAAACGAAAAATCTTAATACTTTTACAGTGGGTATTTAATTTAGAAATTAGAAGGTGTTTTTTTCTTTCTGTCGACATAAGCTGGGTCAGTAAGGATACCCCCCCCCAACTGATTATGGCTTACCCAATGGTGAAACGTATCAGTAAGAAATGTATGTATTCTTTAAAATATTATTATTATTGGTCAAAAACCTAAAATACTCGATTTTTAAAAATATTTCAGGCAAGTATCGCTATCCATGTTTTGCTGAGGGAAACAAAGCAGGACGTGCATTTGTGGGAGCATCGCCCTTGGATTTTTCAATGGACGAGACCGATCCTGCTAACGATGTAGCCGAATTTGTTTCTGAGAAGGTAAAACATCCTCTTTTCCGTAACATTACATACGATCACAGACACAGTTTCACAATTCAATTGTCATTTACTACCTTATCACCATAACTGTGTTCCTCCATGGGTGCTCCACTCTTTGTCACAACTGGCCCCCATCTTCCCCAGTCTCTGCTTTGATTAATGTTTTATATCAAGATAATATTTTGCTACCTAAGAATTACAAAGTTCTATCAGCTCATACCTAGTTTTGAGAAATTTGACGTTAAAAATGTTGAAATTCACAATGTGTCAAGCTATATCGAATGTAATTCTTTAAATGATTGATAATGGCTCCGGATAATCTTACGATTGTGAACGAACAGATAGAAAATTTGGTTTCAAATCTCATGTTCTATATAACCCAAAACGGCCAATAAATATGTCAGATAGAACTTAGTAATTCTGAGGTAGAGAAGACCACTGTCATCACTGTATGATGGTGGAAGACTTTTTCCAATCCCTCCATTTTGCCCTGCAGTGCGGTTGTCTGTTTTCGTGTTTCTGTTTGCCTGACCACGGTAAATTAGAGTAAAGGGACGTATTTCCACGTCTTAAAAAAAAAGAACACGTTCACATGTTAGTTGATGGATTATCTCTTTGAACGTTTGGTCAGGAGTCTTCCCTGCGTTAACGTGCTGGATGTACATTGTAACTGTAGTTTCAAAGCGCATGGAGCATGCCGTCGGGCGTGGATATGTGCTATATAAATGCAATTATTTATATATTATCATCATTTTTATTATCATTATTATTATTGTTGTTATTATTATTATTATTAACTTAAAAACAAAGTGGCAGCTTGAGATTGTTTCATTATGATTAAGTGACTATTGAGACTAGAACAGGAGCAACAGAATACACTTCAAGATTGATATGAAGTCAGTTTCTCGAGCCAGTAACATGTACTAAATATGAAAACCATGCCTTTCAGAGCGAGACTCGTACGTATAAACTTTGTTTATCCGTCTCCCCTCCCCATCACCTCCACCTTTTAGGATCAAGATATTGTGTCAAAGTTAACTCCTCTGAAGTTCGATGTTGGTGTAAATGAAGACCCTGTGGAAACCAGGAAAGGGGTTGAACAATTACCAAAAGACAAGTTCGAAAAAAGCAATGCGAAAGACACGGATAACGAAGTGAGAAACAGTAACACAAAGACGGGGGCCGTTAAGCGTGAAAGAAAGAGGAAACACCACAAGGCTACGGAGACAGGTGATGTCGCTCCGAGCCTAGAGATCCAGGGCGTGCATACCACGGGCACTCCATCGGAAGTCGCACGCTTACCGCCAAGAAGTGATCATTCTTTTCCTGGACTGGTCACAGACAGATCTAGAGGCGCTCCAAGCAAGCCCAGACGCAAGATGGTGCCTGGTGAGAGATTTCACGACGCTACAAATTTTCCAGATGACGAGACAGACATTCTAGCCAGAACTTTGACAAACGTCGACAGAAGACTTGGTCTTCGAAAGAGCGGAGAAACGAAATCTGGACGACGATCGAGTGGAGAGGGATTCGGATATAGGCAGAACAGTGGAGACATTGAGAACTACGATGGTCTTCTGTCGAGCGGCATTTATGACAAGGCACGGAACGGCGCCCCAGCCAAAAGACTGTACCCTGAGGCAGAGGGCGGAGCTTCGTGGATGACGCGTTTTTCTGAGTATCCAAAGGGGCGTGTTCTGGCTGCAGCACGACATGTCAGTAGAGGGTTGAACAAACGGCTGTCAAATGCTGACAGGAGAAGGAAAAGTAGCAAAGTCCAACACGGAATTGAGGATCAAGGGAGAGCATCTGTGGACAAAACTCTAGGAAGTGAGTCTAGTTTTTCTTACCTCCCTTTACACAGTTTATTGTGATGTCTCAATGGGCGTTCAGGCGCGACTTTTACTCCTGTTTTGTTAACATGATATTTAACATTATTAATACGTTTTTAGTCTCCAGGTCTGCTCCTGGAGAAAAGTAATCCTTTTTCCGTATGGTACTTACTTGTAGTTTACTTCAACGGAACAACTAACATCATACAAAGCAGAAAAATGTGTACGAACATTACTTTACCACAAGTTGAAATGCACCTCTAGCAAACAAAAGGTCCGTTAAAAAAATCAAAGTCGTTGTTGCTCTTTTATGGCAGGGACAACATTATGGTGTTTTTAGTGTCTGAAAAAAATAAATCGTTAAAACCAGACATCGGTCAACAGATCAGCATAACAGAGAGCTAGGTAAAAGACGACAAGGTTGTGAGTACGGAGAAAGGAAGTAGATCTACTCCAAACCCAGAAAAGTCGTGCCCAGAGGGTGGCTCCCTTCAGACGGTGCTAAAACGCCGTTACACTGCAGTTGGTCAGCTAGCTGTTTTGTTTTATTTCATTGAACTACAAGGGGAAAAATGTCTTTATGTGCAAATCAAGAATAATATAAAAGCTAGATACCAACGACAGAGATGGAACTGACTTGCAGATTTTTTTAAATAAGTGTCAGTAACCCTTCAATCTGCTAAGGATTAGGTTTAACATAATTTGAAATGCATTTAGACTATGAACCCTATGGCGGTGATACAGAACAAAATTTCACTGCAGGACTAGCACAAAATGTAACTTGAGCATACGTATTTCGAGAGCAGTGAGACCTCAAAAAATCAAAATTTTTCTACTCTCTTATTTCACATCTTAAAAAGCACGAAAATACTTTCCTTTATTTGCATTACTTTATGAATGTTGTTCATTCTTCATCCCCCCCAAATGCTCTGTCAATCCCTTAGCTTTGAGGTATTCCTTGGAATGTCAAACGTATTCTGTTTGCAGCTTGTTAGCATTCACTTCAATAAATTCTGCTTGCAGCTATCAGACATGTAATATATCGAACTTTAGGTGTCTTCTACGTTTGCATAATATAGGCATTTCCTTGAATACGCAAAATAAGAGTAAATGAGTTGCCGCACCTGATTAAAATAGATTCACCAAAGAGTTAGCGGGTCAGCTTTGGGCTAAACACAGGGAAAATGGGGAGTGATTGGTGTGTGTGTGTGTGTGTGTGCGTGTGTGTGTGTGTGTACGTGTGTGTGTGTGTGTGTGTGTGTGTGTGTGTGTGTTTAAAATATCGTTTAATTCCCTCACAGATAGTTGACAATCGGCTGCCTTTTCGCTAATCAATACAAAACAATATTTAAAGTATCGCTGTTTCTTTACAGTTTCACTCTCTGTGCGACATCGAGTTTGACATTCAGTAGCGACTAGCAATGGTGTATGGATTGTGTATGTTTGTGTATTATTCGTATATATATATATATATATATATATATATATATATATATATATATATATATATATATATATATATATATATATATGTAGCCTATGTATTAATGCACTTGTGTATTTATATAAGCTATTATAAAGCAAACTTCCCAGGGGATGAGATAAGTGGAATCTATCATTCATTCATTGTTTTACCTATTTGACTGACGGTCTTTTTTTCTTCTTGTTGCTTCTTTGAAACATCCAGAACTGGAGAGAAAGCTGCAACGTCTTCGCCTGAAGCAACACTGCTGTGAGGCCGGGGCCGCTGCCGGAGGTCAAGTGTACGGGGGATTCACGCATGCGTGGAGAGAATGTTCACACAGCAGCGAGAAACTGGTGGATAGGCTGCGCCCGACGTTTGGTCATAAAGTGTGTCGGGAACAGTTCAAGAAGTGCTGTGTCGAGATGTCCGTCAGGTCAGTGGAATTTGTTTGTTTGTTTGGATTTGTGTTAGTTTGTTTGTTTGTCGACTTCTATGCCATAGTTATTAAGGTCTCCTTGGCCTCAACAGAAGTCACAAGTCATCTTAACTCTTATTCCTTTTCTTTCACAAAAAAATATTCTCTGCGGATGCACTGGTCATCATTAGACATTGACGGACGAACTATTACTCTTTTTGTTTAATTGTGTAAAGAGAAGCACATGCACACAAAATTGATCGTTCAGTGCAAGAGAAAAGCTAAAAAAAAAAAGCAGACAGAAAGAAAAAAAAAAACAGAGGGAAAGAAAGGTGGCGGTGTTCAACCATCTACGGCCACATAGGGTTTACACAGGCCTGGAGAAAGTGTATTACTTTATATTATGCTCCTGATCGAGGCGCTTCTCATTCCTGTCATACTCATTTACTTGTGGATAGTTAGCAGGTGCTCTCATTTTTGTTTTTTTGTTTTCCTCTTTTCTATCGAGCACCCATCGACCTTATCGTTCTTTCTACCCGTCTGCTGGGACATTTCAGTAACCCACTTTCAGCACTTTAAAAAAAAACCCGGGCAAGTGTTAGGTTCCTGCGTGCTGTCGGCATCGCTGACCGTTTATGAAGCCACAGTACCAGAAGAGAGAGAGAGAGAGAGAGAGAGAGAGAGAGAGAGAGATCGTTCTTTCTTTTCTTTGTATGCTACTCCTCTAATCACCGATACTTATGTAACCTATTTTTGTTGCCAGTGCCTTATATAACTCTATGAAAACTGAAACAGCTATTTACTTTAATGTCTCAGTTACTGCTTGCCCCCCCCACCCTTCTAAAAATTATTGTATAAGACAGGCTCTGATTAAGCTATGAACAGTCAATGGGAAGGAGTTGAGATGATCCATACAATGCTTCTCAGGAATTCTGCGAAAATAGGTGTTATTTCATGGTGTAAAATGATGAACATAGGGATTCAAACCCACGATAAGCGTTTAGTCCTGGTGACCCCACAACAATAAATGACCACCTTAACTTTTTGCTTTTTATCGTGTTGTGTTCTTGATTAACTCTCTCATAGGGGCAAGGAATTCCACAATTGCACGTACTCATTTTGAGGGTGTTAGCCTAAAACAACTATACGTCAGTCAATAATATTGATGGATTTATTTGGGTGAGCTCTCAATTGTAATCAGACAGAGAATCACAATATGGGTAAAAATAGAAAGTAAATGTAGCACAGAACCAGGAGAAAATATTGGGATTGACGAAATTGCTATCTCCAAAGATCCGCTGAAACGTGGAATCAAAAACACAAATTCATTATTAATCCGGAATCAAAGAGTGTGTTAAGCTGGTTTTAGACTTATCTATTCTTTGAAAAGGCAGTTAAGATGAAATACATCTGATAAACTAAATCAAATTACAAGAAAGGTGGAAAACTAGATGCTAGGTCTACGACTCCCAGATAATATATAAAAAGTCTCACCCCAAGTTACGTCTACCTGAACACCAAACCGTTAGTATATGTATTTTTTCTTCACCATATCAATTCGTGAATTCTATTTATTCTTCATTTAGTGGTCCATCCATGACGAGTCAAGAATTCCGCGAAGCCGAATTCCAGTACCTAGACAACCGTCAGCGTATTCCAGCCTCACAAATGGCTGACCATGGATTTGATGGAGTCGGCAGAGAGACCCCAGAAGAATATGACGACGCAGGAGAGAAGAGATACAAGAGCATGAGAGAAGTTCCCGACGACGAGGACTTCTTTGACGAGGAGTACAATGGGCCTGCTCGTTTTGACGAGATTGACGACGAAATGGCGGCAGAGTATGGTGGTCTAGATAGGAGTGGGGTAGAGAAAAAAGACGAGGAGACAAAGAAGAAGGCTCTCAAATCGAAGCGCAGGAAAGACACTAAAAACGATGATGATGTGGATGATGACGATGATGTAGAGGATGAAGATGAAGATGAAAAATTTGAGCTTGAGCTAGGTCTTGTTGATGTTGGAGCTCTCGAAGGTCAAGTGGTACCCAAGAAAGAAGTTTTAAGGAAAAATGACAAAAACACCACAGAAACATCACAGAAAGAGTTCAAGAAAGGCGGTCAAACACCACAAAATTCAACGACACAAACAGCTGCCGAAAAAGAGGAGAGAAGGGAAGCTGTTGAGGTCAGGCCCAAACATCACAGAAAATCAAAAGAGGAAACGGAAAACAAGGAAGCCGCTATGAGTGGGTTTGATGCTCAAGTCCTCGACATAATTGGGCGCCCGACTCAGCCCAGAGCCCCATCGAGATCTCAAAACACACCCAAGCAGCGGCGCAGAAGAAAGCACCACGGCGGATCCTCAAAAAGAGGACGATCTCGTTCCCGATCTAAGGAGGGCAGGCGTCGGTCCTCAAGACGTTCTTCCAGGAAAAGCAAGGAACGTCGACACCGTGGAGGGCGTCACCGTTACGGCCACAAGACGCCGCAATACCACCACCCATTCGGACCAGGAGGCGCGAAAGATTCGCATGAGATGGCAGCGATAAATACAAGACGCATGGCCGGCGGTATGGACTCGAAAGAATTAGCAGAAGCTTTCAGTCAAGGCACTTTTGCTCATCCAATGAGAGACAGGACTCCGTCGCGATCGAGAAGTCAATTTTAGTGGTTGAAATGTGCTAAATTAGTTAATGCGAAAGGCATTATTTATTTTAAAAATGCAATAAAATGGTTTTGTTTTATCTGAAGTACTTACGTTTTTAGAATGTATATCATACTATCGTTTTGCCATGAATTCAATTTCTTGCCAACATCTTTTTTCTGCTATCATCCAAAAGGCATACTACGAAGAGTTTGTAAAGCAATAAAAACCGTTTTGAATGCAAACTGTATTAAAATAGTGTTTAAAAAGATAAACTGAGATAACATTACAGTATTGTCAAACAACTGACATAGGATTACGCTGATCGGCTGTTCATATTTCAAACTATGTATGTCATTAATTATTTGATAATTTGGTAGTTTTTAGAACAGTTATTGTCCACATTTTTCCAAGAAACACTACCTATTGTATAAAAGTCTTATTACTCCAATTAATGAAGTGTTCATTTGGGAATTCTTGCCTTGTATTTTGACATTCATAATATTTTTTTAATGATGTCATTAAATGCACCGAAAAAAAAGCATTTTTATCTTTATTCATCATATTTGTAGCCAATGGGCATTCTCGATTTCATTTTGATATGCCGTCCAAATTAAATTCATAATCATAAACATTGATTCCAAGTTCCCTGGAAATACACAAGAATCATAATACAATGTAATCCTTGTTACGTATACGCATTTTAGCTATTTTAAATCCTATTGTTAAGTGTGCTTCTGATTGTAAAAATTCGACATGTTTCCCGTTGATAGAACTAAAGGGACTGTTTCCAACCTAAATCACCAAGATTAAGTACTGCATCGTGGAATAGGGAAAATTCGAAAAGAAAAATTAAAGATAAGGGAAGCAGAAGTGTAAACCTGAGTGAAAAGCAAAAAGCAGGAGCTGGAGTGGCAGCAATAAATATATTCAAACAAAAAAGCGATGTGATTTTTGGGATGCGAAAGTGAGATTAGGAAGGGTAGACGTGAAAGAGGATGAGAGAAAAAGAAGGGGAAGGAAGAATGAGGAGGAGTATCAGAGCAGCTCAAGTTTGTTGATTTAAAGAAAAAAAAGGAAAAAAAAAAAGAAAAAAAAACAAAAAGAAAAAACCATAAATATCTCTCATTGTCCTGTAGGTAAATTTTTTTCACTCGAAGAGTGTACTATTGACTAACGATCAATGATTACTCTTCACCCTGTTCATAAGATGTGTTTTTTTTAAAAGTATTTTTATTTGATTTACTCTTTTCGGGGTTTCGCGTTTTTTTTAATGGATAAGTGTTCATGTACAACGAATTGCTGACAAAATGTTATTTCCTTGTTTTCTCCCTTTACTCCGTGCCATGCCATTTTGAACCATGACCAATAAAAGTATATGACGTTTTAGTTGGAAAATAACATTTTGAGTCTGTTTGGCAAGTCTTTTTTTATGTTGTTAAGCTTTTGTTAGTCTGCACTTTTCTTGTGGTTAGTCTACCGGGCTCACAATCTTGAGGTTGCGGGTTCGGGGTGTGAGGCTCAGCTAGGCCCGACGCTGTGTCCTTGGGAAAGGCACTTATTTCCATAACATGGATTGCTGACATTTCACTCAGGTTAGAATGGGTACCTGGCCATCGACAGCGAATGATCTTGCCAGTATTTAGTGTTTTAGCGTCAGAAAAATGAAAGCTTGCACTGTATGCTTCCTAGGAAGCTGAGAATGTTTATGGGTGTTCTTGGGAGGGGGGGGGGGGGGGGGGGGGTAATAATAGATGTAAAACAAAGATAGCCGGCTGTTGAGCATGGGTGTGCGCTCTTTAAATGCAATCATTATTATCAATTTATCAATTATCATTATATGGTAATAGAAAAGAGAGAAAATCAACGAAATATAATTCCCTGTCTCTTCACCTGATTTAAGAACTGAGAAACACAGGGCACGGGAAAAAGCAAGATAGACAGACACCTTCCAACCACCCACATAAAAAATCACGTCTTTTATATCTAACCTGGATCTTTAAAAAAAAAAAAGCAATCCTCAAAATAGACCAAGACAAGATATCCACCAGCGTAAGGCATGCAGTTCAGATCCCAGAAAGCTGCTAGATATTTCGAATATTTCGGGCCTTAAAGAAAATACGCTAACAAAGGTATGTCATTATTCTCAGTGAACATTTCTGAACACAAAAGGTAACTTGGACTTGTGTTTCTGCTTTGCCTGAAAAGATATGTCTCGAGATTTTTGCTTCTGTATATAAAAAACACACAAGCTGTATCAATAACAGTTATGAATCAATATACTTTTATTTTTAACCATAGTACGTTTTTGTACCGCTCTAATGATATTTGACTGGGGTCTACAAATTCTGTAGTCTCTGAGGTACTGTACACAAATGAAAGAACGAGAGGTAATTCTTGAGCCAAGTAGCACACCTCCAACACACTGGCACTTGCAGGATAAAGTTAAAGCGACAAACTACCGTAGACTTGAATTATAATATCCCAGACCAGACACCGTCATGGCTATCACATGTTTGCTCTCTATGAAAGCATCTCTGTGCCGGTACGCTACATGGTTGCCCCACATGAAAGGCAAAATACCAATTAATTTCACTGTAGTCAAATGCACGTTTACTTTCCCACGTTTCCCTTCATTCGGTTCCAAATAGAATAAAATATACGTTATTCCACTCTGTTCTCCTGGTCTGGACAGATACGGTTGAAACAGCCCATCTCCTAAGTGATCTAGACTGTGTTGATGGGGACGTAAAACAATAAACGATCAAGCATGCCAGCAAGAGAAGCTACCAGCCGCCTTATTTGTAGAAAAGCACACATTTAAATAGCTTTCATTAACTCGTGGACATGACCAAGTAAACTTTCTAGCCAGAGATCAATGACGGTTCATTCATTCATTCATTCTTTCATTCACTCATTCATTTATTCATTCATTCATTCATTCATTCATTCATTCATTCATTCATTCATTCATTCATTCTCTCACTCACTCATTCATTAGTTAATTTATTCTTTCAGTCATGCTTAGATGCAGCAAGTCTTACTCATGTGTAGGGAGAATTTTTGTCGAGTGTCTCGGTATTTTTGCTGGAACTTTGTATCCCTCTCAGCCCGGATTGGCCCTGGCAGGCAGAATCAAAGTCCACCTCCTAGATGATCTAAATTGTGTCCACAGGGGTGAAAAATATCGACATTATAAACACATTTTAAAGTATTCCCTGTCCAACGCGTCTTAGTCAAGTCCAGTAGAGCAGTATTCGAATCCTCATGGTTGAGCAGACACAGCAGAAAACGAAACGAAAACTGGTGTTGCGAAAAACGCCAGATGCGAACCAAAGGAAGAGATCCCAATAGTAACATTATGAACCTGCTGACGTCAAAAGTCCTCGTAGTCTTCATCAGAATAAATACTCCCACTTTTGTCTACCACCACGACCCCCTCCTCTTCCTCTGCTTCGTCGTCATCTCCCTCGAATAGAACAGCTTCCACTTCATCCCATTTCTCCTTTTCTTCAGCTTCCTGGGTCTCGTTACTAAGATCGCTTTCTCTGTCCGATTCGGTGTAAATGCTCCCTGCGTTGTTTTCTTCCAGAGACGTAGCTTCAGCGCTCATAACGTTCTTTTCCCCATCTTCTTTGTACACACCATCCTTTTCCCCCTCTACACATTTAGCATTCCCTTCCCCCTCTTTATCATACCTATCTCTCCCTTCTCTTCCTCCTGCACTCCCATCGTTATTCTCTTTACCACACCCGTCGTTCCTTTCTTCTTTCAATACACATTTGACGTTTTCTCCATTTTCAAGGTATCCATTGGACTCGAGCACTAACGTCGGCCCTGCTACAGTGAGTTCATCTTTCACAAACTCCGAGAGATCTTTCATCTCGGGCTCTAGGTCGGTGGAGTTCAGCCTAGTCGATTCTGTACCTTCGGGAACTGACGGTTCTGTCATAAACAACAGCAACGGCTTCATATCTTTTGTTGCAAACTCCTCAACAGCCACAGATGAAGCAACGGCGTTGTGAGCGTTGTCTTGGTCGATCTCTTTCGGTGACGCATCATGGACATATGAGAAGTCTGTGTGTCCATTTACTTCCTGCGCCGTGTTCCGAGGCGTGTATGAGGGTGTGCAGTCGCCACGGTGTCCCGAGGACGCCGGAGAAGAAGACTCGTCGGTTGCGGCTCTCACGTCTGCTCCAGAGGAAGATTCGGTGCGAGGCGTTGAGGGGACCGGCAGGTTAGGGTCAGGAATATGACGCTCACCAGGCATTGTATCTGTGTCGTTATGTATTTCAATTTGACCCGAGCTGTTTAGCTCCTCGGGACTCTTTGCAGTCTTGGAGAACGAAATATCAGGTGGTGAGTCACAGCCTATGTTTTCCTGGTGGCTTTCGGGTTGATGCTGTATTTGTTGTTGCTCTTGTTGTTCCTGTTGTTGCTGTGGAGATGGTGGTGGTGGTAGTGGAGATTGTGGCACTTGCTGTTGTTCTTGCTGCTGCTGCTGCTGCTGCTGCTGCTGCTGCTGCTGCTGCTGCTGCTGCTGCTGCTGCTGCTGCTGCTGCTGTTGTTGTTGTTGATTTTGTTGTTGATGATGATGTTGCTGCTTTCCCTGAGCTTCGTGTATTGTCTCCAACTCCACCTCCTCCGCGTGGTCACTCAGTTCACCTTCTGCACTCACACGCGGGGCCCTCTGCTGCTTAATGCCCGACACCTGCTCTTCTGTCGAATACTTTGGTTCTTCACCGTCCTTTGTGGAAACTTCGGGTATATTCTCTTCCCTCGCGGAGCCAATCCGGTCACTACGTGCCGTGCGACTGCCAGATTTGTTAAGGTCGGTCTCCTCACCCATAGAGGAGGCCAAAGACATTGAGCTTGCTGACCGCATCTGCTTCTCCATCATCAAAATCCGCTTGGAGTCGGCAAACTCGATGACGTCAGGCAGCCGCTCAGGTAGATAATACTCATCTGTGGAACCCGCGAAAAAGGACGGGTTTGGGATCTGTTTTCTCCTAGACAACAACGGCGGCTCGTAGAAGACTTTGTACTTGGGTTCCTCCATGATCTTCACCTTCCGTGGACTGACGAATGTGGGCATGAGGGTCTGGGTGAGCCGAGAACCGATTTTGGAAAGGGTGGACTTGCTAGAGCTTGCAGTCGACACGGAGGAAACGGCAGACTTCATCCGGGCTAGTTCCCTTTTGGGCTTCATGTATGACTTCCTTTCTACCTCCCCGCTCAGGATCTTGGTCTGCATCCGCTTTAGATCGGAGAAAAAGAGCGGAGTACTGGTCTCCCCTCCTAGTCGGAGTGCCAATTTCGCCAACACGTAGAATGAAGTGTGGGTCGGTGCTTTCGAGGGTTTGGATAGTTCTTCGCACTCGCCGTGCGCCGTAGACGGAATCTGCTTAGGCTCGTTTCCTTCTCCGCTATTTTGTAAATCATCTGCAGTATCACCCTCTTGGCTCCCGTCCTCGTCATTATCTCTCTCATGATGCCGACACGCTCCACAGCGAGGCGGGAAATTGGATCGACTGATCTCCCCTCGCGCTATCTTGTCTTGGATTTCATCCTCGTCCATGAAAGGGAAAAACCGTTTGACGATCTGCGTCATGGCGATGTTCTGCTGCGAGATGCGCATGCGTGGACATTCCTGTTCTGCCTTCTCGCGGTTGAGCAGACGACTTTCCAGCTTCCGGCAGACGCGACAGGTGCTGGCGCCCATGATCTCACAGCACTGCCTGGCCACGGAGTCGCTGCGGCCAAAGTCAATGGGCGTGGTCATGTGACGTGTGTTGTCCTGGTCGGGGGAGGGGATGAACGTCCGGTCACTTGGCAGGGGCAGCAGGACAGGTATATGCTCCATCTGGGGCAGTGAGACAAAAAAAAAAATTTTAAAAAAATAAAAAAATAATAATAATAATAATAATAATGATGATGATGATGATGATGATGATGATGATGATGATGATGATGATGATGATGATGATGATGATGATGATGATGATAACACCAATGATAATATTAACAACAATATAACAACAACAACGATAATAATATTAATAATAATAATAATAATAATAATAATAATAATAATAATAATAATTTTTTTAAAATAATAACAATAATGGTGCTAACATAGAAATGATAACTATAGCAATAGTAATGATAAGAATGAAATAACAGTAATAATAATGAAAATAACAATACTAATAATCATTACACGGTCAATTCTAATAATAATAATAAAAGTAAAAGCAAAGTTGTTCCCGCATCCGATCTCGATATTGGGGATTGCCTTGTTAGAAAGGCCTTCGGCATATTGTGGTAGGGTGGCCAGTTTCTTTCCCCGCCTTTACTTCCCCAACTCGAAGTCAGGTACCCATTGCTGCTGGGTGGGTATGAGGGGTGAAAAATCTGTGTCCGAACCGAGGCTCGAACAAGGACTTTCCGCTTCGGAGACAAGCGCACTCACTGCTCAGCCACCGCACCCTCAATAATAATAATAATAATAATAATAATAATAATAATAATAATAATAATAATAATAATAATAATAATAATGATGATGATGATGATGATGAAGTTCTGTAATTTACAGCACTCTAAACGCGCTTGATAACAGTAACCATCTACTTCTGTTCAATTAAGTGAACTTAGACCAGTGGAGTAAAAAATGAGTTTCAGGTTGAAGAGCATGTTCGCACTACGTGTATTTTGTTTTTTTACCCTCGGCAAGGCCTGTAGATATAATTCTGCAAGATACGAGAAGTACGATACAGAGTATGGATTTGACCCCCCTCCCTCAGCTTAGTTGTTTTCTGAATTGGAGTTATATGTCCTACCGTAACGTTAGTGCTGCTTGTGCGATATACGTACTATGAGGGGTTGAATCCATACTTTACACATAATAATATATGTACATGATAAAAAGGTGAGTCAATACAATATTTAACGTCTTTAGAGGTTCTTATAAGAGAGATGAAATTGAAGACGGACAAGCCCCTCCCATTTTATCTATCTATCTATCTATCTATCTATATATCTATCTATCTATCTATCTATCTATCTATCTATCTTTTACACACACACACATACACACACACACACAACCCCCCACACACACACACGCACACTCACTTGCATACAACCCCACATGGTTTATTAGTGTTCACAGTCAACGAAGACCAGAATATGAGTTGAGAGGTGAAATAGTGTGCGACTGACTGTGAATGATCACTCGACACACCAACAGACACACACACACACACACACACAGACACACACACACACACACACACACACACACACACACACACATAAAAACACACTCACACACACAATGTTATGCTCTCTTACTACTCTTAGAGATATACCCACCATGCAATGAATTGATTCTCGCACATATTATTGCAACTCAAGTCAGCGGGTAATTCTATTAGCTATTTCAAAGGGCAAATAACAACTTAGTTTGCTACGAAAAGGGACAATTACCTCCCATTCGACACATACGGCCCACCTCCTTCACTACACACTACACACACCTGGCTGAGTCTCTTTCCGTCCCTGGCTGAGAGCGGCATGGGTGATGTCATGGCCTGCAGTCCGTTCCCCACAACAGAATGAGGCCTGGACAAATCCACGGGGAGCAATTCGCGCCGGACTGTCTTTTGGGCTTCTTCCAAAACCTAAGGAGAAAGAGGTTGAGGTGAGGTTGGGGGGGGTGGGGGGGTGTAATAAAACACAAAATTAGGAGCAGACGTACGGACACACACACACATACAGACACACACATACAGACACACACAAACAAATACACACACACACAAACGCACGCGCACACACACACACACACACACACACACACACACACACACACACACACACACACACACACACACACACACACACACGCAGCTTTGTAAGGAATACAGGAACATCAGACAAGGCCTTTCATATTGTGTGTGCTCTTACATCTGTGCGATTTTACCTCGCCCCCCCCCCTCCCCACCCTTTCGTGACAATACTTCGCTGAAACCGATGTTAAACGTAACCATTCAATTAAATGGAGAGAGATAGAGAAAGACACACGTAGAGAGAGGGAGAGAGAGAGAGAGAGAGAGGGAGAGAGAGAGAGAGAGAGAGAGAGAGGGAGAGAGAGAGAGAGAGAGAGAGAGAGAGAGAGAGAGAGAGAGAGAGAGAGAGAGAGAGAGAGAGGGGTTAAGAAAGAAAGAGAGAGAGAAAAAAAAGAATTGTGAAATGGTATGGGTTTAACGCCCCAATCAACACTATTAGGTTATTTAAGAGGCGGGGCCTCCAAATTTAACGTCCGTCTCCGAAAGGACCGAGCCAAATGTGAAATTCGTGTACAGTGTCTTTCCCAAGGACACGATGTCGGAGAGAGAGAGAGAGAGGGGGGGGGGGTTACAAAACAAACGCAAAGAGCGAGTTCATAAAAGCAGTATCTCACTTGTCTCCTGTTCTCAAGTGACGTCACCTCCCTTGTGTGCTGAGCCAGAGACACGACGTCATCCACACTGATTCTGTCGGGCGTCCCCTGGGCTCGCCGGATGTGACGTGTGCTGGTGGTGGCCACACTGACCGGCCTATGCTGTGTCTTTCTGGGGTCGCGACTTGACGGCCGGGAGTATCCAGAGCTTTTCTGGCGGACCTGAGAGCGACACAAGTTTTGATAAGTCTATAGCTATATTATTATCTTCTTCAGTTTTAGTTTTAGTAGAGGTTTTACGGCGCTCGCAACTGCATAAGGTCATATGAGCGCCAGAAGATTAGTGGTGTTACAAGAGAGAAGGGGAGATAAGGACGATAGATGTTTGTTAGGAAAGAAGAAGCAAACCACACCAGAGCACCCGCCAGCCACCCACGTTATTATCTTCGTATTGATTTATTATATAAGGTTCTACTTGTACTAGGCGAAAGTATTCATTTCAAAGACAGGCTTGTAGAGGTTGTTCTCGGCAACTCTGAACCTTCTATGGACAGGTTACCGGGAAAGAGAGATTGCACGGAGGTTGGGGTTTTCCTTATACAGGTGCCATTCCTTTAGACTTACTTTAACAGTATCCTAAACCTAGCTTTAATCCTAATCTTAACCATAACCTAGCCAACTGACACAGCACAGACAGACTGTGGTCATCCAGGTAAGCCATCATGTAGACTTGCAACTAACTGTGTCTTGCAGAGCCTGACAAAAAATCCCAGTACGAAATAAAAATAAAGTTATATGTATACAGCTGGGACCTAGCAGACGAATAAGCGGCCTGGTAAATAAATAAATAAATAAATAAATAAATAAATAAATAAATAAATAAATAAATAAATAAATAAATGAATGAATGAATGAATGAATGAATGAATAAATAAATAAATAAAAGAATAAATAAATAAAAGAATCAATAAATCAATCAATAGATTAATAAATAAAAGAATAAATAAACACATAGATAAATAAATGAATAATCAATATTCACAAGTCTGCGGAGTGCTATCTGGCCTTACCGATTTCCGCATACGAAGCGGCTCCAGGCGCTGAGAACCATGAGCTCGGTGCACAAGGAGCCCTAAAGGGTCCACAGGCCAAGAAGTACTTGTAAGTCTGTCAAATAAGACTGCTCTATTGTCCGGCCTAGGCATGGTGTAAGGTGCAAAGCTCGTGTATCGCCAAGTGGTCATCGTTATCAATGAGTATCACCTCCGTGACGTTGGTCCATCGACAGTGTGATAATAAGAGTTCACTGTGCGATGTCCGATATGTGAGTGGTTCTGAAGGCGAACTAGTGTTTCGATTAAACACTGGTTGCACATTTTCTTCTTATTTCTATTTTAAACAGTACGTAGATAATGTATGTATACATGGACGTATATATTGGAAGGATGGGATGTTAAGATCTCAAAACCAACCAAACAGAGCGATCTCCATGTCCACAGTCTTTCCTGTACAACAGCGAATTATAATGGCAGTAACACATTACTGCTCTCAAAACTGCATGAACTTTCCAAGCACGGAAAAGTACTTCAAATTAAAAAAAAAAGCGATGAAATGGAATTTAGTAGGATACACTTCAGTCACAAAATGACTGTACTCTCGCATTCTGTGTAATGCATGCACATTCTACTAGTCCACTTCCCCCAATGCTTCGAGTTGGAGCTACTGAACGACTCAGATCTCCAACACTTGTGCTATTCCCGTAACGTTAGTGCAATGATGTAAAAAGCCCCAGTGTATGTAGCTGCAGAACTGTGAAAATATCGTCTCGATCGGTCTTGACGACAAGAGCTCTTTGTTTGCCCTCCACTACCGTTGCACATCGGCCACGCGCTGGGCGCTTGAGGTTGTAAATTACAGTATAGATGGCTACCGGGAAGGGGTTTTCGAATAGCTGTTTCTGTTTATGGGTACTTTTGCGCTTTTTAAAGGGGATTTTTTTGGTGTTTAATTATGCTGTGATAAATAAAGGAAACATCAATGGCTGAATTAGCTGTTTCTTCTGATACTGTATTTATTAGGTATACGTAGGTGTTTACGACATTGTGTGTGTGAGTGGTAGAGAAAATGAAAACACACACACAGAGAGAGAGAGAGAGAGAGAGAGAGAGAGAGAGAGAGAGAGAGAGAGAGAGGAGAGAAATAGAGATAGAGAGAGAGGAGAAGGGAAAGGAAGACTGGGTGTCTGAGAAAAAGAGAGAGAGAGAAAGAGAGAGAGAGATGTCAGAGAGATAGAGAAAGAAAAAGAGATGGAGAGCAAGAGAGAGGGAGAAAGAGATAGGGAGAGAGAGAGATCGAGAGAGAAAGAAAGAATGAATGAATGAATGAATGAATGAAAAAATGAAGATGCAGGGAGGGGAGGGGTGCCGAAAAAGAATTGGGAACCGTGTGCTTTGTCTAAAAACAGTGTTGCGAGTGCCGTAAAACATTTGCTAAAAAACAACAACCCCAACAAAAAAACAAAAGCAACAAAAAACCCCGCCAACCCCCCCCCCCCCCCCCACACACACATACAATTACACCCACTTAAATCTGGCGCACTACGAGCTCATACAATAAAGACATAAATATTACGTGCTCTTCTCCCCCTCTCTCTCTTCCCCTCCTCTCTTCCCCCAACACCCTCTCTCTTCCCCCTCTCTCTCTCTCTTCTCTCTCATACTATCTTTGTTTCATTTGTAGCCCTGTGTGTTCATTAACCTCGCTGCAGTTGATGCGAATTAAGCCCTATGTCTATCTGTCCTTGAGTTCTTTGAGAAATGTCCAAGGCTCTCGCCTCAATGGCCTCAGACAAGTCGGAGATCGGTGTCAAGTTCTGATGTTCAGCCTCTTTAAATAATCGTTCAGTTTTAGAAATGGCTTTAAACCAACGTTATAATATCATACCATTTCTAATTTCAAAGAGTATGGCTCTTAATAAAGCTTTCAAGGTCTAGCACTCGGCTTTTCGTTGTGAAAATGTTGCCCCTCACACCGCGCCAACAACCGACTATTTTTGGCCCGGGCAGCTCATGAGCCAAGCTTGGCCGTCTATCCTGTATAATGCTTCGATCAGTCTGGGAACTGTTAGCTCTTATTTAAAATAAATGAGGTCTAAAACGATTCAGTGGCCACTTTCAGTGGGGATTTGCCTGAGCCGACCCTCTGAGTGACCAGGGGGCAGCATTGTTCTGCGGACGGCAACATTTTCCACATGGCCGGTTCGCAAGAGCCAGCCGTTCAATATTGGTGCTCGTTAAAATGTCCCCCGAACCGTTGGCTCCAGGCACGTATCGGCCAATCATTAACACAGCCCAACACTCGCCCACTCTAGCCAAACAAAAAAAAAGAAAAGAGAAAAGGTGGTAGACCTGCTTTGGTCGTGCACTCAATTGTTCTTCTAGGTAGTGCGCCAGGCAAAATGGTGGAAGGGAGAGTGCTAGTTGCCCAAGTGGTCATAATAAGCTAATTGCTAAAACATAGTTGATATGGGGTTGGGGGGGAAAAGTGAGGGGAAAGGGGGGGGGGGGGATTTTTGTTCCATACACCGTTAGCAAGCCATGGTCAAATAGACTGTTTGTCTTTCGCCGAGTAAAACAAAAGAGCAGGACTAGGTGTGGTGACCATTACAAATAGGTATTTTTATGCCGCGAGGTTGGGGGTAGAGTGGCAAAAGAGAGAAAGTAATACAGAAGAGAGATAGACTTAGGGTAGGAAGTTGAAAGTTCAGTTCGTTATATATTTTGTCTTCCCTAATGGTTTTTAATATATTCCGTGACTTTGGTTCGTTTAGTTCTTGTATAATTGATTAATAATCGTTTTGTTGCAGAAAGATTTTTTTTCGTTTATTCTTGTTCTTTCAACTAATTTCTGAGTTCATGGAAATACAGAAGAAAAACACTGAAGTCAAATTATTTTTAGTTTACAAAAGATCGGTTAGAAATTTAAAAGTGGAGGTATCTATCTATCTATCTATCTATCTATCTATCTATCTATCTATCTATCTATCTATCTATCTATCTATCTATCAGCCTGTCTGTCTGCCTGTCTGTCTATCTGTCTGTCTGTCTGTCTATCTAAGCTGATGTCTGTGGTATTGCTGGAAGGTTTTTCGCCGTCATACACTGTAGAAGACAAGAGCCCGATTATCGTGTAGGGAGAGTTTTTATCGAGTGTCTATCATTCTGCTGGGACGTTTTATCCCTTTAGCTCGGGTTGGCCCTGCAGGTAGGGTCGAAGCTCGCCTCCTAAATTTAAATGATCTGAATTGTGTCAGTTAGTAAAAAATACCTACAATAAAACAAAACAAACCTACACACACCACAAACAAGCAAACAATCAAACTACCCTCTTTCAATCTCATTGTTTTTGTGTTGTTTTTTTTGGTTAACTTTTTATCGTTGTTGCACTCACTTTTGCGGGAGCACTTTTCACAGCCTGTCGACCTTTCCGCCAGCTCTGCTCATGTCCTCCAGGCAGAGTCCCAGGGGAAGTGACGTAGATGCCAAGACTTGGTGACGTCAGTGTCAGACGCATTATGCTTGCAGACGTTCCAATTGTAGGGGCATTCAGCAGAGAAATTCTATGCCAGATTCTGCAGACAGAAATGAAAGCGTTAGCATTGATTTTATACCCGTATTACTTGGAAAGACAATAATTATATTCTCAGTAAGGAGAATATCGGCGGTTTTCTTAACGTAGAAGTTCTATTCACCATTTGAAAAGAGTTCGAACATTTAGGAGGCGGGCTTGATTCCTGCCTGTCAAGTCCAGCCTCGGCTGACAGGGATACAAAGTCACAGCAGAAAGTCCGAGATGGTTGATAAAAGTTCTCCCCACACGGGACTCGAACTCATGCCTTCTGCGTGTGACGGGTCGATACCGGTGAATATCGGCGTCCAGAGTAACAATTTATCTATTTGACTAGAACAGAAATTAGTTTTGGTTCCAACCCATAATGTTACTATATTGTCAAGATATTTTTATCGGTTATAAATTATCACCCTCTTTGTGTTTAGATGTACTTTACTAATCGCGGCATCGGTGTTAAAATGGTTAAGCTTACACCGGCTCGTTACAGAAATGTCATGGATTCGTGCCTCTTCAAGGGCACGACGTAGTGTCCCTGAGAAAGGCAATTTATCTGAAATTTCTTCACTTTACCCAGATGGGAATGGATACCCGACTATACAAAGCCAACGATCTTGTCAGTTTGTCAGCGTCTTAGCGCTTGATCGACTGCTTGTATTTTGTCTCCTTCCCCTTCCCGGAAAGCCCAGCATGTTGGACAGTGCGCTATGGACTGTTGGGCTAATGACAGTTGAACACCGTATGAAACATGCTGTAGAGATTGTTGTTGTTGTTGTTGTTGTTATTATTTTTTTAAAAATTAATATTATTATTAATGTTATTGTTACTACTATTATTATTACTATTTTATTAATATTATTGTTATTAGTGTTGTTGTTATTACTGTTGTTTTTTATTATTGTTGTTATTGTTGTTATTGTTGTTATTGTTATTATTGTCATTATTGTCATCATCATCTTCATCATCATCATCATCATCATCATCATCATCATCATCATCATCATCATCATCATCATCATCATCATCATCATCATCATCATCGTGTGATGATTATAATGATTGTCGACACTATTTAAGATAATTTAGAGGGCATGATTCCGACCTAGCCTGTCATGACCAACACGGGCTGAGAAAGGTGTTACATCTCAGCAGAAAAACCGAGACACTCGATAAAATTCTCCCCGATCGAGAATGGAACTTTGGTCTTCTGCGCGCAACGGCGAAGAGCTTAATGGCTACACCAGAGACGCAGGTATGCAGTGTACGTCAGTGATACAGATAAGGTAATGACGTGTAAAACACGTCTACTAACCGAAAGGAGCAACGCATTCTTCTATTTTTTCATTCTTTTTCTATTTTATTGAACGCTCTCTCCCTCTCCCTCTCTCTCTCTCTCTCTCTCTCTCTCTCTCTCTCTCTCTCTCTCTCTCTTTCTCTGTCTGTCTCTGTTAGGTAGGAGCTCAGTTAAGAAAATATTTTATTAACTGAGTAAAACAAATGCTGTAGTCAGAATCCGCTAAAACACTGTCTGGAATAATAACGTCTGTGTTGAACCGAAGGCTTTTCTAATAATGATCAACTCGCTCTGAGGAAAGCAGCAAGAATTTTTTTTTTAAACGGATAATGATTCAATGTCTTCGGAGTGCGACTACTATGATACGTGTATCATCCAAATTTGGTCAAATGTATTTTTTTCCTTTAGATTATAGATTTATAAATCTATGTATATATCATGTATGTATGTATATTTCTATCCATGGCTTTATCCGTCTTTTATAATATAATGTACCCTCACAAATACGACTATTACTTACAATGAAACGCATCCGAAACATAAGTAAATTTTGATCAGACACGTACTTAGGATCAGAGAAACAAAATTCTTGAAAATCTCTCTAATCAGCCGTTAGCTGTGTGTTTACTATCTATTATTTGCGTTTATCTATTTTATTTTTTGTTTTGTTTTAGAATGGTTTGCTTTTGTTTGGTCGTTTTTTGTTTGTTTGTCTGTTTGATTGTTTATTCTTTTCGTTTGTCTAGTTTTCTTTTCTTTTCTTTCTTTTTTCCTTTATGGAAGTGTGTGTGTGTGTGTGTGTGTGTGTGTGTGTGTGTGTGTGTGTGTGTGTGTGTGTGTGTGTGTGTGTGTGTGTGTGTGTGTGTGTATGTCGGGTTTGTTTTTGTTTTTTATTATTTTTCATATTACCATAGGGAGATTCTATTTAGCCTACTACTACTCCAATATTCCGCTCCGTCCTCACCCCGTGCCTAAATCCTTTAATTATGGCAGGCACCCCATTTCCTAAGCACCTTTATAGTATTTATTGTCTCCCGCCAAACTTGCTACACAATAGCGGTTTCCGTTAAGTACAGTTATTAATTGTGCGTTACGGATACTACAGATAGCCCTGTAGTTTTTGTTTTTTAAGTTGTCTCTTGATAGCTCTGTCGTTTTTAAAAACAGTTGTCTGCGGATAGCCCTGTAGTTTTTGTTTTTTAAAGATTCCTACGAATAGCCCTGAGGTTTTAAAAACAGTAAAGTTGTCTATTGATAGCCCTGTAGTTCTTTTTAAAGTTGTTTACGAATAGCTCTGTACTTTTTTAAAAGTTGCTTATAGCCTGTATAATATATTTCATTATGAATATCAGCTGAACGCGAGACCCGAAGACAGTATAATAATTGACTCTCGTGGACGCAGTGTTATCTACCGGTGTAAAGATCGATAGATAAATAAACCCGATCATGATCCCGTACCCGGCTTCACGTTTAGCCACTCGCTGAGTGAGACGGAACAAATAACTGACACTGACACACCAGCTGGAGAGACTTTTGAGGCGTCGTGGTGAAATCATGCGCTCGTCAAGGAAATGAAATCGAAGAAACTGACTATTTTCCGCCCGAAAATCAATTTTTATCAAATTTTCATTTCGCCACAACACCTTCAATGCAAATTTAAATACACATTTCTATGTGGATTTTACTGAAGTGTTGATAAAAGGCAAAAAGAAGGTAAATTTGCTTGTTTCCAAGGACACTCAAGCTAAGGAATTCTTAAAACTTTTGCGGCGGCCATTTTCTCGCTAATTTTACCTGCAACTCCAGGCGATCCCTACCTTCTTCAATCACAAATATCTTGACTTCTTTTCAAGATAGGTGGGTATGTTTTTCATCAAGAGCGAGACAAAAAAGCTCCATATGCCCCCCCCCCCCCTAAAAAAAAAAATTAATTAAACGAGCACTTGATTCCACCCTGTCGTGACTTATAATTTACTGTGTCTTCTGGGTTGGGCGGGGACGCATGTTACGTCTATTGTCAAGCGTCTTTCGGAAAACAGGCCACACAATAGGTAATAACTCATGTGTGCAATCCAGGGCTTTTGTGGCGTCTCCCGTGAGGGGTGTTGTATTGCACGGTTTGTTTAGTCTGTTATTGTGACTGATAGAGATAACAATGTTTAACTTGAGGGTATTTTTATTGCTTTGTTCTGTTTCTCTCTCTCTCTCTCTCTCTCTCTCTCTCTCTCTCTCTCTCTCTCTCTCTCTCTCTCTCTTTCTCCACCCCCTCTCTCTTTCTCTCTCTCTCTGTCTCTCCACTCCCTTTTCTCTCTCTCTTTATCTCTCTGTGTGTCTCTGTGTGTCTCTCTTTCTATCTGTCTCTGTCTGTGTGTGTGTGTGTGTGTGTGTGTGTGTGTGTGTGTGTGTGTGTGTGTGCGTGCGTGTGTGTGTGTCTATAATGTACCTATCTCATTCGCTATCTAGCTATCTATATTATATCTCCACCTTCCCTCCGCCTTTCCTCTCTCTCCTCTTTCTCTCTATCTCTCTTCCACTCTTTCTCCCTTTCTCTCTCTCTCTCTCTCTATCTCTCTCTGTCTATCTATCTATCTATCTATCTATCTATCTATCTATCTATCTATCTATCTATCTATCTATCTATATCTATCTATCTATCTATCTATCTATCTATCTATCTCTGTCTCCCAGTTTCTCTGGCTACAGTTTTCATTATCGATCTGTCTAAAACTACAGGGCAGCATACCGCTATCATTATTGTGCAGTAGAGGTTTACTACCCGTGTGGATTTACTGCCTTATTTCGACAGACCCTGAATCCAACTGAAAATGTGGCTCTCCTAAAATTAGTAAAATTAAACCCCAAAAATATATTCGTACACTATCTATCTATCTATCTATCTATCTATCTATCTATCTATCTATCTATCTATCTATCTATCTATCTATCTATCTATCTATCTATCTATCTGCATATGGTTGCGTCGGTAGCCCAGTGGTTAGGCTACCTGACACGTAATCGTGAGATTGCGATTTTGGAGGGTTCGAGCCTCAGCTCGGCACGATGTTGTATGTCCTTGGAAAATAGGCACTTTACACGATTTTCTCAATTGGCTCGGTCTCTTCGGAGATGGACGTTAAACTCGTAAGTCCCGCCTCTTTATTAACCTAATTGTGTTGATAGGGGTGATAAACTTACACTATTTCACCATTTTTCTATAGTACGTATGTATGAATTCTCACATTACGTGTGTTCATATAAAATAGCTCCCCGCTCCCCAACATATACACACAGATACACACACACACACACACACACACACACACACACACACACACACACACACACACACACACACAAACACTATTGACCATCAAACGGTTTTCAAAGAAAGAATTAAATACCTCACCTTAACACAATCCGTATTTGTCGTCACAGTGCCGTCATAGTGTTACCGTTTTCCTCATCTCGACTACTCCCAATTGACTTATCCAGTGACACTCTCCCGTAAGCAGCTGCTCTACTATGTTGTCTGATGACACCGAAGTTCCGATACAGGCTTAATAAACGAGATCCAAAGTAATAAACCTTAGACCTGGGCCACACACCGAGATAACTTCTCACGTTGAGCGACACCATGTGTCGTTTTCACGCGTCAAAAGGCAACACTGACTACCCACTCCATTGGAGGACCGCGGTAACCTAGCTTATTACACGAAATGTCTTTTTTTAAAAATGAAATTAAAGGGAAAAGGACAACTTGATTGGGTCGTGCACTCCCTGTCGATTAGATTATCTCGGTTTGTCCCAAGACTGCTTTTGAGGACTACGTTAGGACAGGATCGTACTTAGCACTCGATGTTTGGTTGCTGTGTTCACGGGCAGATTTAATCCCTCGAAGCCAGAGCCTAATCCCTTGCGCCGCTCGTGTTATAGGCTGAGGGTAGCAGTATATAGGGTGACGACTCTACGTCAGGGGCGTCCACATTGCGTCAGGGGCGACGAGATTTTGTCAGGAGCTGCCACACTGGGTGCGAGGCCACTGTTCGTTGTGTAGGTTTTGCGTTTAGTGTCGTTTTCAAAATTTTATGGTTATTTAAGACTTGGGACCTCCGAATTTAACGTCCACCCCTGATAGGACCAAGCCAAATTGGCGGAGAGCTTTAAAAACTCCCCAAAATAACTCAAGTTCAACATGCCTGTTGGGGGATTCGAACCTAGTTTTGTAGTCCAGCATGATACCAACTGAAACTGAGCTAGCGGTGTGGCCTAGGAAAGGGGCAGCAACGTTGTTCTCGGGGTGGCTCACTCATGCATGTTGCTTTGAACGATATTTTCAGGGTTTACTTGTTAACGATTTAGACCCCTCTAAATGTTGAGGGGTGGGGGGAGGGGTGGTAAGTGTTTTATGGCCCTCGAAACTGCATTAGGTCAAATGAGCGTGTGGGACATTTTGAACATTTTTAGTAGGTAGGAAATTTGAATTTTCCCCGGGTGGCGGCCGCAGCCTGCTTTTATCGATTTTAGACCACCAAGAGATCTTTAATGTGTGCAACTTGCACTCAAGACCTCCCGAGATTTTTCGCCATTGTCCATTTGCTAACACCTTAACCTCTAAGCCACGAGAGTCCCCTTCTAAATGAAAAAGCTATTTGATTTGAATGTTTGCCTTTTCTGCAATTTGCTAACATGTTGCTGTTGTAGCGATCTCCCTTACTTTGCGTCAGGAAACAATATCATTATGATGACGAGGACAGTCAGCGACCTTTTTCGTCGGCGACTCTGCCGTGGCAACACAATGCAAGATTTCGGCACAAGTAATATAGTATGACACCGGTGTTGTGACTCCCTCTCTGTTTAGATTTGTGTGCCCGTGAGTGCAAGAGAGAGAGAGAGAGAGAGAGAGAGAGAGAGAGAGAGAGAGAGAGAGAGAGAGAGAGAGAGAGAGAGAGAGAGGGGGGGGGGGGTTTCAAGATCTCAATGGCGGTCGCTCTCCGCGCTCGCTTTCGCATGCATACTTATTATGTTGCTGGATGTATATGAGACAAGGGACAGTGAGAAAGAGAGACAGAGGGAGAGAGGGGAGAGGTCGAGTGCACGCGCGCTCGTCTGTGTGTTTGTGTGTGTGTGTGTATGTGTGTGTGTGTGTGTGTGTGTGTGTGTGTGTGTGTGTGTGTGTGTGTGTGTGTGTGTGTGTGTAGGAGAGCAGAGACTGCAGATACGAATGACAGGAAATGATTCATATAAATTGCTGCAATGACTCCATGCTAATACCCAAGCGCCTTTGCTCCGGCCAACCCACCTTCACCCTTCCCTCTGCCCCACCTTTCCAGGTCTCCTCCTGCGGCCCCATACACAGCTGATTAATGCCTATACTAATAAGGATAGACGAAGCGTAAAGGTTGATTCCTCGAGTAGACCACCAAGGGCACCACCGAAAATTTAAAGGGAAGAATGATACAATTTGGCGAGTGGTGTTAGTTGTATAGGCTCACTCAGGGAGAATGCCATTTGAGGCGACTCCAGGAAGTGAAAAGGACATAATTTGTGGCAGTATAACACTTCGGTCAATTTTAGCTGCATTTACGGCAGAGAAAAACTGTTTTAATTCGAATTTTGGTACATTTCTGTGGTGGCAACAATCGACAACTATATTTAAACCATATTGATAAGGCATAGTGGCATAGGTTAACTTGGAATCTACATTTTCTCTCTGCTTTTCAGTCTTGAGAAAAGGGGGAGACATAGAGATATAGGCTTGGGGTGCGAGGGGGTGGGGGGCAGCGGTGTAACTACTTGTTGAATGCAATACTGTATCACATTGGTAGGGGCGAAAGTGTAAGAAGTTCCATTGGTGCATAGATTCCTTAATGCGAACGTCCGTCAGGCAATCATGAAACACGGCAAATGCGTTTTCTCCCTCCATTTTCACAAATTGTTCATTGAGAAAAACACTTCAGGATTAATGTTACAGGTCGAGAAAAATATTAACGTTTACAGTCTCGCTCTACTCGGCGTGGCCTACAGGCTCTCCAGTCTCTAATTAATGGCTAAAAACCACTATACTTATTCAATATCTTTACTCAAGTCAATTCAGAAAAATGCAATATCGACACTAATTGATGCAAAAGTACTCCCGCAAAGTAGATATAATTTTTCTTCTGTTTAATTGTTTTGCCGCAAAGTGGATACACCCCTTACACAGAGGAGCACAACTATGAAAGCAAAATCATTGCATGCGAGATGAAAATTCTCCACTAAACTCTAAATATCACAAGAAAAGACGGGCACAGAAATGAAGATGTAAGAGAAACTATTGGCACGGAGTCCTGGCTGCATTTCTTAAAAACAAACGGAATAGAATGGTTTGGCCACCTGTTAAGAATGTCACCTAATCAGCGAGTCTCGAGAGCCTTTAACAACAAGCACTCAGACTATAAAGGAAGAGGTAGACCACGCACAAGATGGATTGCGAAATTAGAACATCGCGATTGATATGACTGCAGAGTTGGCCTACCCTAGGAAACTGCATCTAGTCTCGACCTAACAAAGGATTAAAAAAGTAAAAGTAAAGTAAACCCAAAGTCAGAAATAACAGATAAAGACATTCTTTGAGGAATAGGTTCTTATCTAAGTGGGCAGGTTGTATTTTTCATGCAGTTTGTATTATATATTTTGGGTACTAAAAATTTATTAAAATGAGTCTTATTTTGAAAAAAATAGAGACCTCTCCATAACAACCAAAATAAGTGTTTTGAAAAAAGGATATATTCATGTAGCCAGTCTTAAGACTGTGAATTCTGAATGATTACTAAGGATAGTGAAAAAAAAAAATAACATAAAAGAAACAGACATGTGGCTCCTTAGGAGACTTTTGAGGATTTCAAGAGAGTTAGAAATTTCAAACGGGGACGTGCTTTAAAGAAGCCCTTGTGGGACGAACATTAATAATAAAACTAATAAAACAGAAGGCCGAATGCAGTTCTTGGGACATTGCAAGCGACAAAAATGCCTTCAACATCTTTCTCTACCTAGGAAAACTGAAGGCAAATAATAATAATAATAATGAAGATCGTTTCTATAGCGCCCACTCCCGTGTAAACACAGCTCTAGGCGCTTTACATAAATGCATGTAAGAAAAATATTCATGCACGCGACACACACACACACACTCACACACACACACACTCATATACACACAAACACACACACATATACATATACTCACACACAAACACACGCATACACACTCACGAACACATAACACGCACACATGTATGCCAAACACACACAAGCACACACACACACACACACACACACTAACACACACACACACACACACACGTACACACACACACACACACACACACACACACATACACACACACATCTACTTGCTTACCACACGCACACGATTACACATCGTCACGAAATGTGAATAAAATAATATATACACTGCAATTCACAAAATACATAAATGGATACATAGACATTTACATAACATTGTACTGAACATGAATCTACTGACATAAAAAGGATGTCATTAAATGTGTCTTTAAAGATTTTTTAAATTTAGACTCAGATGTTGTATGTCTCAAGGCAAACACGGTGAAGTAAGACCAAGAACAACTCACTCGGAGAACTTGGACTGATTGATGACGTGGGCAGGTCAGAATAATTATATGCGTTTCTTTGGAGCATCCGAGCAGAGAAATGAGTGGTCGGTAGCAAACTATGCCAGGCAATGTATACTTGAAATCTAGCACTTGATGGTGATGATGGTGATGATGATGATGATGATGATGATGATGATGATGATGATGATGATGATGATGATGATGATGATGATGATTAATATGATGATGTTAGCTATAATCAATCTCCCTCAATTCTAATGAAGCATTCTGGTCCTGGTGCAAATTTTAATACATACAATTTTGAACTCCTGTACGAAGTTCTTGCAAAGTTTTAAATGGTACATCATACCTAATTAATATTCGTGGCCTAGATAGGTTAAGGTGTTCGCCTATCATTCAAAGGTCCCGGGTTCGAATCTGGGTGGAGACCGAAAAATTTTATTCTCTAAAATTGTCCCCTTTCACCTCCTTTCCTGCCCTCTACCAATGTTCTGTCGTCTGCTTTCGTCTCCACTTTCTGCCCCCTCCCCCTCACCTCCTTCGCCCCCTCCTCTGGGCTCCTGACTCTTTCTGCAGTCTTTCTACTGCTTCTCCTTGGCTCCTTCTTACTGCTGTCTTTCAGCCACTCCCCTGATCTTCTGGTAGGAAAGATCTACACCTAGCCTTCTCGGATAAGGGAGAAAAATCTCGAAAGTCCCGTGTGCAAGTTGCGCACGTTAAAGATCCCTTGGTGGTTTCAAATCGATAAGAGTAGGCTTCGGCCTCACCCGGGAAAAATTCAACATTTCCTACCAACTGAAAAATGTTCCGATATGTCCCGCGCGCTCATATAACCTTATGCAGTTGCTAGTGCCGTAAAACACTAACCCCCCAAAAATACCTATCTGGACTTCGCTATTATATATATTTTCCTTAACGCTGATAGGTTGAATACGAGGGGGGGGGGGGGGAGAGGACGGTTCTCGTGATCTAGATTTAGCCACCACTCGGGCAAAATTCTAAATTTCCAACCAAACTGAAAATGCTTAATGTGTTTCGCGTACTCATATGACAATATGCTGTAACGAGCGCTGTAAAGCACCTACCCCCCCCCCCCCCCCAAAAAAAAGACATTATGAAGTAGCTAGCGACGTAAAACACTTACCCCCCCCCCCCCCCCCCAAACCAAAAACGGTTGAATACAGCTCACAAAATCAATTAGGCGAAATACAAACACACACAAAGGGAGTTAAAAAACACTTCTAAAAAGTCGGTTCATTGTTTTCTCTTTATCTTTTTATTGCACAAATATGCCATATCAGTCACAAGACCCAGAAGAGGCACAAAAAGGCGTTTTTAGGTTTAAATTATATTGGGAGAAACCTCCAACATTCTAGATGTCTCTCAGTTTCCAATGTATTCAACACAGCACTGCTCTTTGATTGTGACTATTAAATATTAGCGTTGCATTACAACGATCTTTACACACAGGGTAACATTGTATTATTATTGCAAATGCATAAAAAGTGGTAGAAAATCTTTCGGACACATTATTATAAATAAACACATTTTACATTGGCTACATTTTTGGCAAGCCGTTCAGATGAGCTAAGCCCAGAAACCAACATGTTTTTAATTTAGACAAAGTGTTTCAATGTTTAAAACAATTGTAACGGCATTGTGTATCTTTTCTTGCCTTTTTCAATATTTAGAATTCCAATTTTGACATGATATGTTTGTGCACACACAACCAATATAACGGACTAAAAAGCCTGCCATAAAAAAAAATCTCAATTTTGGGCTTAGTCCATCTGAACACCTTGCTAACGTTATGCGTTGTATCCCTTGTGTCACCAGTAGTGCAAATCCAGAAGATCTTTACAACGAGAGTAAAACAACGTGCCGCTTTAAAAAAAGATTTGTCTGAAACAAAACATTTCCTCTTTGAATCAGTGCTCCAGACTTTCAGAAACAACTCATAATACCGCATGAAGGCAACGGGTTTGCATGTATTTCAACATGAAGAAGTTATCAATTAAGGTAGGGTCTATAGTGTGACTGACGCCCATCTCCGACAGGAGAACTGAAAAGACACCTCAAACAAATGTAGTTGAAATAATACCCTGTTAGTGATTTGTGACCCAGAATAGCCTGCACAGCAGTCTAGCACAGAACCATTTATTGGACTCCAGTCGTATTCACTATCGAGAAAGTATAAAATAAAGCAGACGTATGAAGTAAAACATTGACAATATTCTTTCCATTTGAGTTGTTGTCCAGAGAAAAACACGGCTTGAAAGAGATTGGTCAAACGATATGAATATCAAATACAACTATAAATACAAAGTGAACACGTTGTTTATTATTATCATCTCTCCCTTTCTTGTGAAGATTTCGAGGTCCTCCACACCCACACTGGCATGCATACTATTATTTTTACATTTCCTCACTCAAACCAAGATTGCAATTAAAAAAAACAACAACAACAAATGATTGCACTAATAATAAATAGTCGATTCACGCACTCATGGGTTATGGTGTCATAATATGCATAGGTCACGATCGAGGTTCATGCACTATCCATCTCCAGCTTACCATTTCATTATCCTTCCTTTTGAGTTTGAAAAAGAAACCGATACACAGTCAGGCAGTTGAAGGTTCAGGCGATGTCATCGAGCAACAAGTTTGTCTCCAGGTGCTCATGATTAACGCGATCGCCTCTATGAGCCCGAGCAGGAAAGTAAACAGTCTGCATAGTATTTATTGAAAGGGTGTTCTACTTTACTTTGTGTTAGAGAAGATGTGATAGCTTTTGCCTCTTTCATTTCTTATGAAACGTAAGCAGCTTTAACAAAATACATCTGCTTTGGGGGAGGGGCAGAGCTAGTAGACAAAGTTTAGAAAAAGGTTAAATTCAAGCTCAACGGTCTTGGGCATCATATTAAGTACACACTGGTGCCTTTTTGTTTTTCAAGATGAGCTGGGGGGTTTTCATGAGGATGTGCGTTTTGTGCATACAGTTTTAAATAGAGGTTAAAACGACAAATAATCTTGATATGTGAAATGTGGATGTTGAGTGAAGAGGCTATAGAATCAGTGGACAAGGTAGCATGTTGATACTCTGTCTTGTAATACATTTATTAACGCCGATACACAATCGTCGACAATGATAATTTCTTTCAGTTGTAAAATAATCTAAACCTAGCTCTTCATAACGCATTTAGTTTGTTTGTTTGTTTGTTTATTTGTTTGTTTGTTTGGTGTCGTTAGTCCAACATAATGGTTCACAAACATATTGTTTTCCACATATGTAATATCATGTTTTTCAAACATCAATGTCCTCATCCTCGCTGTTCTCATCCCTGAAAGTGTACAAAGCTCTGCTCTTCCGTCCTGGGGCTGCGTCAGTATCACTGCTGGTGTCACTTGTGCTGCTGCCGTCCCCAAGGACCTCAGAGATGTCGTCATCTGTCAACTTGTGTCCTTTGTTCTCATTGTCGTCATCATCATCATCATCATCGCTAATGCTAAAACTATTGTCGAGTTCTACACTTGGATGTATTTTAGACACAGTCCTTGGCTGCATGTTTCCCATGTCCAATTCTTCAGGTTTGGTGAGCTGGAGTGTTGTGACCTGAGGGTCGGTGGACTCGCTGGAGCTGTCCGAGTAAGTTCTCTCTGACATGAGCTTCACTGGACGCGGCCTCGCTCCTTCCTCGGCTCTCTGATCGTCCACGCGTGGAAACATCTGCGGAATAGGGCTGCTTACAGTCGACGAGGAAGATGGGAATAGTTGCAGATTTCTGGACATCTCTGGGGGTAAAACTTCAAAACTTGACTCACTTCCGCTTTTGCTAGTGCTGCTATCAGCCTCTGACTTTCGATTCTGACCTGTAGTCTGGATCTGAGGTTCGGATTTCTCGAAGGTATATGATGCTTCTATTTCGCTTTCATCTGAGGTGTTAGTATTTGATGTACCTGAAGTCTCAGCACCCTCATCATCGTCATCTCTGCCTCCCCCTAACTCCTCTGTGCTCGGAAGAACGAATCGCAGTTTTCTTCCATGGCTATTGTCCCCTCCTATCACATCATCGTCATCACTTTTGTCACCATCAGTAGAATCATCAGCTTCAGTTTGATTACCATCCTCTCTCTGTCCGACCTCTCCGAACGTGAGTACTCGTATCCTCCCTGGCGACGGGACGCTCCCATAACTCCCTGGCACGGGAACATCTTGACTTTCTGTAAACGGCAAATCGGTCTCGTCCAGAGAAGGCTGCAGTTGGAGCGAGAAGAAACTGGCTTCGGTCCTTTGTTGTCCGTTTGTAGGGAAAGTAGACTGTTCATTGTCGTAGAAAGTCGTACCAGCTCTTCCCACAGGAGAAGATAAATCGGGGTCGTCATCGAAAACTGAGCTTTTACTTGGAGCTTGAATGGACTTTAATGCAGCCATGTCTATGTGGTCTATGTCTGCATCAGTACTATCAAGAAAATTGCTAAAGCTTTGGGATCGTTTGTTTTGTTCTTTTGCGCCTGGACCTTCTTCATCCAGGCTTTTAGCTCGGGATCGGGTTAGAATGGCCGTGGCCCTTGCAAATCGTTCTTCTATGTTCAACTTTGAGTCACTACGTTCTTTATTGAGAATGTTCTTCTCATCGTGTTGCTCTTCATATTCTTCATCGTCACTCACGTGCTTCTGTGAACCCTCCTGGTCTGTGTTTCTGTCGTCATCGTCCAGGTCAGTGACCAGGTGTGGGTTGCTGTTGGCGGAAGACAAGGACACGCCGCGGTCTCTGTCCCCTGGTGAGATGTTCCTGGGAACACCGTCATTATCGTCACCCAAGGAGAAGTCAAAGGACGCCATGGAAGCTGTTTTATCCCGGTAATCAACCCCGACAACAGAAGCCGTCAGAGCCGGAAAATCATGCAGATTCTCCACTGACGTCATTTTCTTTGGAGGTTTGGTTTTTCTTTTCTGTGCCTCAAATAATGTTTCGTCGAACAGAGAGTTCCTCCTTGCAGACTTTGACGGATTCACGCTGAAACTCCGCGGTCTGGCCGTGAAGGCCATAGCTCTGTCAACGCTCATGGACCTTGACCGTGCTTTGATATCTGCACACACTTCCTCGAAGGTTGGCTGCTCGAACAGAAGTCTGGATGTCTTCTCGAAATTACTCTCCACTTGATCCTCGTCACTAGCTTGTCCGTCGTCTTGATTGTTCTTCAAGCTCACTGTCCTGGCGTCTTGCAAACTACCGCTCTTTTCCTCTAGGGTCCCTGTCGAAGATGCTGAACTCTCAGCTGCAGCTCTGTTCTTACTCTTATGTTTATTCCTTGGCTTTGGTTTAGGTGTAAGCTGTTGCTGCCCCAGCATCTCAGAAACATCTGTGTCCGTGGACTCGACGTCTTCTGTTCCTTTCCCCTGACGCCGCTCCACAGATCTCCCTGGAGTCCCGTCCGCCGAGTCGGTGGTGTCGACTTCCCTCACCTCGTCTTCGCCCTTCTTAAAAAGCCAGGATTTCCTCGCTAGGAACTTTCGCTCTTTCTCTTCTTCATCCTCATCTTCGTCATTGACGAACCCAGCATTATCAAACGTTATTCTATTGTCCACAGGGTTATACTCTACGGTTATCTCACCTGATTCTTCTCCACTCGCGGTAAAATAATCATCCGCGTCTGGACGCACCAATGTGGGAGCTCGTTTGGGGGTAGAGTACTGAGGGTTGCTAAATTTGCCAAACTCTCGACCAATGATCATACGCACTGGGTACTTCTTACGGTAGCAAATGTAAATAACGATGGCGACCGCGCCAATGATCAACAAGGGGATGATTACGCCCACGGCTATTTTCCACGACGAGCTAGATTCTTCGGCCGCCTGTGGTACGTGGGTGGAATTCCCAGCTCTTTCAGTGGGCGGCACGGTCGGCTTTGGTGGCGCTTCACTGGTCACAGGGGACGATGAAATGCTGCCCGTAGATGGACTCGGCCTGAGAGTCTGTAAAGGCAGATGAAAGAAGAGTGATTTAAATGATTGTGAGTACTCAAAGAAAACCGTAATATGGTATGATATAAGGTTCTGCCGAATATGCTGGCATCGAAACGTTGACATCTTTAAAGGACAAGAAGTCGATTACCAGGACCTAAAAAGTATGCTATCGAGAATCTTTATCGTTTATTGGGAAAATGTTCTTGGACCCTGACCTGACATGTAAGGTCAAAGTAGCCAAAATCTTCGAAGAGCTAACATGTGTTGATCAAAGTGTTTCACATTTTACTGACGTTAACAATGAAGGAGAAACGCCGAAAGTTGACTGAAGAAAAGAACTCTATTGTCGTCAGAGATAGACAGATAGAGAGAGGGG